CACTTACTCCTAGGCAGATGGAAGTAAAATAGGGCTGCCCATACGTCTGGAATGTCCTGGACATAGCTGGAATATGGCAGCTGGAAACAATGTCCAGGCAGAAATTGCAAAAATGTCTGGGAAAATCTGGACACCGTAAGTCTTTATTTTCTTTGAGATTTTGCAAAAAAGCTCAACAACTTTGGCCAAAAGATAAAAATATTAGGGGAGGCAGCACTTTGGCTTTGCATGGTTTATTGGTTATAATGGATGCAAAAGTGGGGGAGGCAGGGGTTAAACAGGCTGGAAAAAACCTGTGACACACTTCATGGAAAGTCTCAAGGGAACTTGAGGCAATTTGGGGGGGGGGGTTTAATGGAAGCATAACAAGCATGGCCCTCAGTTGTTCAAGGTCAGCAGTGTTTTTAGAGATACATATGTAGTGAAAAGAAAAATCAGATCAAAGCAGTACTTACTTCTGAGTAAATATGCATTGGATTAGACTGTATTAAGAGGGGAAGAAGCAGAATAAATTCTCTTTTCTGAGGAGGTTATTTGATCAGGCTTGTTAGAACAGACCACCATCAAAACCTTACTTTGCTTACAGCGATTTCCTTAGCTTCAGACACAGAAAAATGATTTTTTTTTTTGAGGTGGAGAGGAGAATAAGAAAAGGGAACCAGATCATTTCACCTGCCACTCACATCCCCCATCCTGTGGCATTTGTCAAAAGCTGTTCCTCCATTTATCACTTGTGTAAAACCAAAGGTCATCACAAAACATTTATCAAAGCTGTGCCACTCTTCTTTTTAATAATAATTTTAGAAAGTCAGCCTCAGACTCAACCCTGATGAGCTTTCTTGCTCCTCAGAGATTTCTGCACCCCCACTGCAGCAGGAGGGGACTTAGGCACTGGGAAAGCCACGCCAATCAACTCCCTGCAGGTAACCTCTATCTGCATTGCTAGCTTACCTGTAAAATGGCAAGTGAACAAGAATAGCAAATGTGCACATAGGGCTTGAGGAAGTTCTCCTAACACACCCCAAAAAGGCACAGGCAGGCCACAGACAATGCCACAACCCACCTCCCTGCCAGCATTTGCCAACTGGGTGCCCTCAAGGTGCTGGCTGGGGCTTATGGGAGTTGTAGTCCACAACATCTTGAGGGCACCTGGCTGGGAAAGGTCATGATATGCACCTTAGGAGCCAAGGAGCTTTCTGACTGTAAAAACCAGAGTCCAGAGAACCAGGACTCAGTGCTTTGTCACTGAGCTATGATTTCCCACCCCCCACAAAATTCCTGAAGATTTGAACACAAGACTAGAGGGGCTCATTCTCTCTCAAGAAAATTACACTTATATGGTCAGGACTGGGGAGGAAAACATCTAGTATCAGTTCCTAAATGGGCCACAATTGTCCTCCAGCCTTGAGCACGCTTGGGGCTTAAAGTACTAGGAACTGGAGGGGAAATGTCTCAGCCCCAGGAACTGGGACCCTCCGGAAGTTGTTGGGACTCCGTTTCTCATCAGCTCCAGCCACCATGGGATGGGAGCTGGAGTTCCTCCTGGGTATGATCATTTAAACACCCAAAGAGGCCAATTATTTAGGCTTCTCAATTTGGTAACTATACAGCATCGCTCACATGTGAGATGCATACCTCAGGTTTGTGATGAGCATATATTTATAAGCAGCTATCCTCAGTTTTCGATATCTTTCTGGTACAGATGCCAACCCAAGCTATCAACCGCCCTGATTACTAAGGAATCGGTCCTCCATTGATCCCAGTATCTCATGCTGAGGAAAGGTGATGTCCTGTGACAGGCTAACTTGCCCCAACGAAGTTTTCCAAGTATGTGGTAGTAAATATCCCCACTCCCCACAAAGCTAGGGAGACCATAAACTCAATATGGAGATGGGGTAATTGAGAGCAGGGGCAGAACTCCTACCACTTACAAGAGCAGAAGGAGAGTCTGTCCAGCCTCCTGTTCTCACAGGGCCTAGCAAAACGTCTCTTCTGGGAAGACCACGAGCAGGACCTGGGCACAACAAAAGCACTCTCCCCATTTAGGATTCCCAGTAAATCAGTATCATCAATGGGGCTAGGAAAATTCTGGTTTCTGGCATCACAAAATTCTGGTTTTCAGCTTCACAGAAAGTGTAGAAGGATTCACAGCTCAGGGGCAGAGGTCCAGCTTTGTGTGCAGGAGGTTGCAGATTCAGTTGCCAGATAAAAGGGGATTGAGTGCTGGGAACAATGCCCCTCTGCCTGAAAACCTGGAGGCCTGCTGCTGCCAGTCAGAACAAACAATTCTGGTTTAGATGGGACATAAATCCTGACCCAATAGAAGGCAACTTCCTATTTATTTTTGTAAGCACCAGAATCCTTACACGTTCAGGAGCCCAAGCGACCCAGCACCAGACATTCGACCCCACTACTATCCCCAGTTCTGGCAGCAAATATGTAGCCTGAGGAAGGGAGAGGCTGAGTCCATGACAGAGAGGAAATAATCCGAACTGGCTTTTCAAGCCAGATGCAAAAAGGCCTCTGAGCGAGGCCGAGAATGGAAGTGGCAGCTTGATTAAAGCTACCTCAGCTCCCCGTGACAGAACCGCCCCTCAGGCAACCAGCCATGGAATTTCACATGTTTGCAAACTCTGTATCAAAGGGGTGGTGGTGGTTTTTTTTGTTTTGTTTTTTGTTTTTGTTTTTTGAGGGGGGCGTTGCATAATGAGAGTAGGACAAAGTGGATTTCCCCCTAGATGGCACCCCCACCCCTCCTTTCTCAACCCATTCACATCATCTAAACTTGACTCATCAGACACTTTCAACCGAGGCAGAGAGAACTGAGAACACCTAAAGAAATTTAGGGAAAGACCCTTAAGTGTAATTAAATCAGCCAAGTCTAGTCTCTCAATTCCAGGAGAAGCCAAAGGTGGTCTCCGAAAGGCACCTGTTCTTTCCGTTACTTCCCCTAAGAACAGCGGTGAGGGGGCAGCTGTCTCTCCAGGCCCCACCAAGACAAAAAACCAGCATCTTTTTTGTACCCCGCTTCCAAAATCCACAGAGGACATTGAATGTCTCTGTGACAGGGGACAGAAGCAGGACGTGGTGCCTTGCAGGCCTGCCTGATGCAATGTCACTACCAGGGGTGCCCTTGCTAGGTGAGGGAGCCTTCGGATCTGAATTCCTGCCACAAGGGAGCTGGGCAAAGGGACCCGAACAAGGAGAGTGTGGGGACTATAGGGCACGTCTGTTTTGTAAAAGGACACATTGGGGAGGCGTGGTGGGTTAGTCTGGCCAAGACTTAGGGGGCTGATATGTAGGGGTGGCGGAAGGTAGCTAACTTATGGAACAAACCAGGTTCACTCAAGGCAGTTGCTCTATAGCATGAAATAGATTTTCAGGGGCACCTGCCTCCTTGACCTAACAGGGGTATGGGGCAAAGCAAGGCCCTAGACTGCCCCTTATTAAAAAGAAATAAAAATTACCATGTCTCTCCCCCCCCCACCTTTGGAATGAGACCAAACCTTATTCCTACTGCTACTAAAGGTGGACACACACACACACACAGAGATGCCCAATTCAGCATGGTAGGAAACTCAAGAGGTGGTGCAGGAGGTGGTCATATCCAGGTAAAGACAGCAGGCAAGGCAAGAAGATGAATAAGGGAGAAGAGTGGAATTAATGATGGTGTCAGAGGAACAAGGAGCCAGGCTGAATTCTTTTTGGGGGTGGGGGAGAAGGGTGATGCCTTAAGGAGAGGAAATGAGAGAGGCTGCAAGCTGAAAGGGGTGGATATTGGTGATGGAGCAGGATATGGCACTGGGGAAAGATTTATGGGAGATGGGGGGGAGAGACCTCAAGAGAAAGTGGGGGCTGCAGTTTGCAATGGGGGAGAGAAGTGGAGTAAGTGCTTGGGCTGCAATGCAAGCTGTAGTTCATTGTGGGAGGGGCAAGAGGCCCACCTCACTCAGGGGGGGGGGACCCAGCGGAGGCAGCCAGTTCAAGGGCCCAGGTGTGGGGAGGGGAGAGAGACATGATGCAAGAGCACACATGGGCAGCCCCAGCTGGATTTGTGCAGGAAGGAAAAGGGAAAGAAAGCAGGAGCCCACCTGATGGAAAGAGGAAGCTGGAGGGGGGGGGGAGAGGCTGCAAGTTCAAGGGGGGGGTGGCTGCAATGGAAAGAGGAGACTCTGATGGCGCAGGAGGAGGAGGAGCAACTCAGGCCGGAAGGGGTTGGGGGGGGGCTTCCATAAGAAGTGAGGAAGCAGGTGACTTTGCAAGTTCAAAATGGGTAGGCAGATGAGCAGGGGCAAAGAAGGAGGTGCAGCCAGCAGCGGGATTTTGGGCGGGGGGCGGGGGGGCGGGGCGGGAAGAGGCCCCACCGACCCCCTGGGGGAATTTTTTTCTTTTTCCTCTAACATTCATCTTGATACTGGGATTGGGGAAGAATGAGAAAAAGGGGTGCGGGAGGAACAGGACCAGCAGCAGATGGGGCGACAATCTTTTTCGAAACAAATTTTAAAATGGGGTGTTTGAGTTTGGAGCAGGCTGAAAAATAACACGTGTATATATAGATATACTGTATATATGTGAATGTGTGTGTGTGTGGGGGAATAATCCTCTGTTCCCCACCTCAACAGATGTAAAATTAATGGGAGGGGGGATGGACTTCCCCCCTAATTGCCCCCCAAATACACAGCCCCCCTCCATCGTCCTAAGCCCCCCTTAACATCCCCATTAATGACTCCACAAACACACAACCCCCCAATTATCACCCCCCTTAGTTACCCCACAGTCGCCCCCCCCATTAATTCCCCCCCACGCAGAGAGGCCTTGCGTGCTCCCCCCCTTTTCGGGTGGGTTTATTTTGCCCCCCTCTCCTCCCCCCCCCAGGTAGGCCCTCCGCCCCTCCCCCCACCGGGAGCGGGAGGGGCGCCTGGCCGGGCCTGAGGGGGGGAGGGTGTCTTTCTAACCGCCCCCCCCCGCGGACAAGCGCAGCTTCCCTCCGCCTCACCCACCGTGGGAGCCCCCGCCCGGCCCTCATGGCGCCGCCGCCGCCCGCCTCGCCTCGCCTCTCCTCTGGCCGCCTTCAGCCGCCGCCGCCGCCGCCTTCTTTCCCCTCAGAGCCGGCTCGGCCGCTCCCCCCCTTCTGCGCACGCGCCGCCCGGCCCAGAAGAGGCTCCTCCTCCTCCTCTTCCACCAGCACCGCCTCCAAGAGGGAAGGGTCACAGCAGCAAGAAGGGCACATAGACACTTCCGGCTCTCTGTTAGGGGTTGGTGGGGGTGTGGTGGCGAAAGAGAAGAGAGGCTCGGCATCGAGGTTTGTTCGTTTTTGCGGGTTCGGAGCAAGGCGAGATAACGGCTTGAACGTGCACGTGCGCATTCGTTTCCATCACCCCCACCGTATCTCCGGAGGTCAAATGGGAACCGGAAGTGACAGTTACGTTGGGGGTTTTTTCGTTTGCGACGCGGACCTTTCCTTATCTCTATGGCTTTTTTTCTGCCAGTCTCTGCATCGCTCGCTCCTGTGCTATGGAGGAAATGCCGGTTTTGACATTCTGGTGCGCACGCGCAACGTATGCGCTCTTTCCCCCCCCCCACATCCGAGCACATGCCGGCTGGGGGCTGATGGGAGTTGTAGTCCAGAACATCTGGAGGACATCCAGGCTGCCCTACCTTGTGGCCTATTGAGTTAGGGTAGAGAGACTGTAGCAGCCCTGTATATTTTATCATTGGTAATTATTATTATTATTATTATTATTATTATTATTATTATTATTATTATTATTATTATTATTATGATGTCCCAGCTTCAAGGAGCTGGTGTACATGACCCTCACCCTTTAAAACAACCCTGCGAGGTAAGCTAGGCCAAGAGGCAGTGACTGGGCCCCAAGGTCACCAGGGAGAGCTTAATGGCCAAGTGGGGATTTGAACCCTGGTCCCTTCCAGGTCCTAGAGCGAAACTCCAACTACTATACCACACTGGCCCTTTCTCCTCGTTTTTTAATAATTGCATAAACTGTTTAACTTGCTTTTAAATGGCACGAGGTGCTTTACTGCGAGCCACCCTGGGCCCTTGTGTCAAAGGTCAAGGAATAAATCTTATTATTTCATAACTATTGTGACCTCTGTTTTGAGAGAGAAGGTGGGAGGTTAAGAGAGGACACGTTATTCCAGGTCTCCGCTGCCACAGGATCAAGCCACGCCTGTTAGCCAGATGCAGCAAACAATAAAGAGGAATTACGCCCAGGCAGCTGTTGCAAAATGGAGAAGAACAAAAAGTACCAGTACCCATTGCTCTGACCAGACCCAACGATGCAATCCTACGTGGGTGTACATCGACACAAGCTCTACTTGTGCTTCTGTTGGGTTTTGCTCCTAAGAAAGTGTGCCTGGCGTTGTAGCCTCAAGCAACTGACATCACGCTGAAAAATCTGTCTAGTGTCCATAGTAAAATGGTTACATCTTCACTAAGTGCCACCCGGACTCTTGGTTAGCAGCAAGGAAGGCGCAGACACCTCACACCAGGCATGCCTGTAGGTCAGGATGGGTGGGGGATCTGTGGTCCTCCAGGTGTAAAATGGAGATTCCCAAAGCAAACTGGAGGCTGAGAGGGCAGGGGTTGCTTTTCATTGTATGCCTTTAGGCGCAAGGTGAAAACATTCCACTTCAGCCAGACCTTTGGCTGATTACATCCAATACCCTTTTAAATGTATTAGGGGCGGGGTTACTGGTATGTTTTTGTTCTTGTAGATCAGAGTCGGAAGGGACCACGAGGATCATTGAACCCAACCCCCTGCAGTGCAGGAATGTTTCACCCAATGTGCAACTCAAACCCATGAGCCAGAGATGTATATGGTGTTATTTTTATCTTGTATTTTTATGTTGTGAACCACCCTGAGAACTATGGGTAGAGGGATGGTTCACTACTAATACTAATACTACTACTACAATCTGTTTTCCTCAGCCATTAAAAAGGATGGGCCCTCCTAGAACAATGGCCTTTATACATTTCGCTCTGTAAATGCCCACAAAAGATTGAAAGTAACCCTAAATAATAAACTTTTATTATTGTTGTTTATTAGATTTACATACCGCCCTTCACCATAAGAGCAATTCACAAGATAAATCCAGACTAAATAATCTAGTCCAGGCATGTCCAAAGTCCGTTTCGGGGGCATGATCCAGTCCACCGGTTGGTGTAATCCGGCCCCTGTGGCAGTTTATTTCCCGGGGTAAAATCCTAAAAAAAGTTCAACAACCCATTAAGGCTCCCATTTTACAGATGAAGGGCACTGAGGCTGAGATCATTAGACCTAAGTGGTAAGGGACAACAAAACTGTTGCCTGAGTGACCACCTTAATTTATTGAGAGCACGGCAGCCGCATCAGAGCCCAGAAGGGTCTCTGGCTGAAAGAGACAAGCCATTGCCCCGACTCAAAGTGATGGAGACAAACTGAGATGGGAGTGCCAGGCTCCAGGCAGCAGTTTCTGAAATGTTTGCTTTTCTTCTCCTGCTAGCACAGAGTGAAGCCTACACCCACCCCAGCAGCAGTCACTGTGCAAGCCAGAGAGAGCGTGAGATTCAGCCGCATGATCTGGGGGTCCACATCGCATGAAACCCGGGAGCTGTGTGCATGTGCCCAATTTCAGTGAAAGATACGCATTGGCAACCTGGCACTGCCGTTTCCTCCTTGTGTATCGTCGGGTGCTGGCTGTGGGTCCATCTGTAGCCCTTCCCTTGACACGACACGCACCTGAAATGGGACCTGAGGCAGGAGAGCCAGGCCGCCCCCTGCAGGCTTTGGGACAGGAGAGAAGAAGAAGTTGGGAATAAGTCCTTGGGGCCGGTTGCTGGCGAGACCCACGAGCAGGAAAGCAGGGCCTTGTCATTGGCTTGGAGTGGCCCCTTCCATGGCAAGGCCGGGCTGCTGCAGGGGGAGCGACGGCTCTCATTTCTTCAGCTGCACAGAAAGCTTCAGGTGCACATCGCAGAGGAAAGCGTTCATCAGGTCAGAGCCGGCCTCCTGGGCGATCTTGCTGATCAGGTGGCCGCGGGAGCCAACGAGCATCTTCTGCTCCGGGGGAAGGCCAAGGAGAATGGGGTGTCAGTGGGAATCGAGACAGCTTATCATTTGTGGCATCACAGCCTAGGCATCCTTTTTTGCTCACCCTACCCCATTCCCCAGCTGAGAAGCTTATCTGCAACTACAGAAAGTTTATTGGGGACAGGAAAATTGGCTTTCAGGTGGAAAAATCAAAACTAGAGATTGAACTGCTAGAACCCAATACTAAGAATCTATCAAGAATGTATAACTTGTTGTTGAAATGGAATACACAGGATGAAACGGTGAAATCAGCCATGATTAAATGGGCACAAGATATTGGTCATGACATTATGTTTGCTGACTGGGAACAGTTATGGACCACCGGTGTTAAGTTTACGGCATGTAATGCCTTAAGAGAAAACATAATGAAAATGATTTACAGGTGGTACATGACCCCAGTCAAGCTGGCAAAAATCTATCATCTGCCCGATAACAAATGTTGGAAGTGTAAAGAGACTGAAGGTACCTTCTACCACCTTTGGTGGACATGCCCGAAGATTAAGGCCTTCTGGGAAATGATCTATAATGAAATCAAAAAGGTACTCAAATGTACCTTTCCTAAAAAACCAGAGGCCTTTCTCTTGGGCATTGTCGGCCAATTGGTGACAAAGAGGGATAGAACTTTCTTCATGTACGCTACAACAGCAGCAAGAATACTCATCGCAAAGTATTGGAAGACACAAGATCTACCCACTCTGGAAGAATGGCAGATGAAAGTGATGGACTATATGACATTGGCCGAGATGACAGGCAGAATCCGTGACCAACGAAAAGAGACGGTGGAAGAAGAATGGAGAAAATTTAAAAGTTATCTTAAGGACTACTATAAACTTAATGAATGCTAAAATGTTGTGGTTTCCAGAAACAAAGGGATACAGGGATATAAGGTTAGAAATATAAAAGAGGACTAAGATGACAGAGATTGGAAAGTAACAATTGGGAGTTGCTAGTTGAATTATGGACATTGGGATGCAGAGAGGGGGGGTATGGGGAAGTCAAAGGAAAGAGGTTTATGAAAATATGTTTGAAACTATACGTGTATGTTTGTCATTTTTGGTGTTTGTTTGTTTTTCTTAAAAAGTTTCTAAAACCAATAAAAATTTTATAAAAAAAAAAAGAAAGTTTATTGGGGAGAAGGCTTACATTAGAAGGTAAGAACAGTCTGCTGGATCAAGCCAATGGCCCATCTTGTCCAGCATCCTTTGGTCATAGGGGCCAATGAAATGCGCCAAGGAGAACTCCCTGAGCAGGATTTGAGCACAAGAGCCCTCTCCTCCCCATGGGGTTTCCAGAAATCAGCATTCAGAGAGCATTGCTGCCTCCAACCACCATCCTTGCTAGTAGCCATCAATAGCCCTCTCCTCCTCCTCCTCCTCCTCCTCCTCCTCCATGGATTTGTCTAACCCTCTTTCAAACCACCCAGGTTGGTGGCCATCACTGCCTCCTGTGGGAGAGAGTCCCACAGTTCAAGTATGGGCTGCATAAAGGTCTTCCCCTTTTATGTGTCCTGAATTTTCCAACATTCATTGTTTGTTAAACTGCTCTGGGAATTGTAGTTCTGTGAGGTGGGAGGGAATAGGGGAGCTGCCTAAAGATTCTCAGCAGGCTTAGCAAACCACAGTTCCTTGAAACAGCCTCGGTCTGGTATATCTGAAGGAGTGTCTCCACCATCATTCAGCCCGGACACTGAGGTCCAGCTCCGAGGGCTTTCTGGCGGTTTCCTCCGTGCGAGAAGTGATGTTACAGGGAACCAGGCAGAGGGCCTTCTCGGTAGTGGCGCCCACCCTGTGGAACGCCCTACCATAAGAAGTTGAGGAAATAAACAACTATCTCACTTTTATAAGGCATCTGAAGGCAGCCCTGTTTAGGGAAGTTTTTAATGTTTGATGTTTTATCGCTTTAATAATAATAATAATGTTCTGTTGGGAGCCGCCCAGAGTGGCTGGGGAAACCCAGCCAGATGGGTGGGGTATA